TGTTTTTGGAATAAAGTAAATTATTATTATTATTATTATTATTATTCGATACATATATCAGTGAAGAGCCCTTTCGATGAGAAACTTATTGAAAAGAAATATGAATTTGCTTGCGATTCAATTCGTTTCCTTCGATTTGAATTGATTTAATGAATTCTTAGAAGATTTTGTCCCGAGTGCCTGTCTTCTGGATAATCATATCAGAGAAAGGTAGAAGTTATAGTTCATACTCCTGGTGACTGATTGATAATATTCACGCCGTCTATCTTGAAGTATTTTGCTTTGATCACAGGTATGACTGAAGAGTCCCAAACTAGGAAGAAACTTTCGTTCAAAAAGTTGGTAGTTCACTGATGAATGTCAGTTTGAGGTGAAGTTTGTCTTGGAATCAACCAATTTTACTGCAAACCAACACTAGTCACCAGGAATTTATAAATACATAGGCATGAATTAGTATAAGCCAGCAGCACTACAATAGACGGTTTCTTAATGAAGATAGTTGTGAAGATGATCCATCTGTGATTAGGATTTTGACTTCAGTGACGAGTGACACAGTTTTTATCGTATGAAAGAAAATCATTTCAATTTGTGTATTATCTAAAGATTTGTAACTGTCTACCAACCACACTTACGGTTGCCATTAGATTTCCGCCCGATGCACCACTAAACCTTACCTAGTTCACTGATCTCAGTAGTGAGCCCGGTAAAGAGGGAAGGTTAGATTTTTGAGGTTAAACACTTCGCCCAGTGACAAACGTAACATCATCACTACTGACACTTCACACTCGGAATGTGTGGAATGAAAGAAAAGTCTGCAAGTACAGTCCATCACAGGGGCATGCTCAAAGACACAAGATGAGACTTGTTTTATGAAGACTCTCCTGATGACACAATCTCTAATAATACACGTTATCTCAAATTTTGTCTTGATACCTGTTGCCCCAGAGCAACGGTCTTCGTCAGATTTGACCATTTCTCCTCCTCTCAACTTAAAAAGCTTCGCAGACAAAAAGAAAAGCTATATAAAATGGAGGGCAATACTGGTTTGAAAAGAATTAACATCCTAATAAAATCTGAAATGCACAGGTTGGATTCAATTTACAACCAAAAGTTTATATCCTGTAAAAATGCGTCTAATATATGAAAACTTTTCAATGAAATTACTGGTGGTAAATAGATGAATAGTATTCCTTATTCCGTTGATGTTTGCACACTAAATAATTCTTTCATATATTCTCCCATAAATTCTAAACTTTCTAGTGTTATAAGTGTTTATGAAACATGCTTCCCTGGTTTCAATACAAATGATGTTCAAAAATGTCTCCAGTCTCTTAACCCTTCTTGTAGACTGGATCCGAATGGTTTGCCTAGTGTTATTCTTAAAAAATGTGCAGATGTCCTGTGTTATCCTGTCATGGACATATTTAAGGAGTCTTTTTCCAGAAATGTCGTGCAAGACGTTTGGAAGGACATCAAAATTGTACCTATCCCTAAGTCGTCTACTGGAACACGTTTTAAATTTAGACCTAATGCTATTACCTCCCCTTTTCTAGAAATTATGGAAAAGTTACTCTTACTTATTCTCCAACCTTCACTTGAAGCCTTTAACGATTCCAAACAATTCGCTTATAAACACAGCAGAAGTACTGTAGATGCAGTTGCAGTCTTGTATCATGACATTGTCTCCAGTTTAGACATGAGGGATAAATTTGTTCGTTGCACCTTCCTAGATTACACATTTGCTTTTGACTCAGTACCTAGGGATATTTTGTTAAACCAGCTTGCTGAAACGTAAACTGACTGTTGGTTGTCAAATGGCTGCATTCTTATTTCTCAGGAAGAAAGCAGTACACTGTGTGTCAGGGGAAGTCGTCCACTTCGTTGCTTACTGAGGCTGGTGTTCGTCAAGGCGCCATCCTTTATCCTTTTCTGTTTTCTTTCTTCTTGTATGTCTCGCCTAACTTTCATGAAATAAACTTTGTTAAGTATGCCGATGATTTAACTATTTCAATGTCTGTTAACTCCCAGCTTGACTGTGCTAAGATAAACAGCTTTCTATCAGGAATTTGCAGATGGTCTCCGTCTAACGACCTTAAACCAAATCCTTTCAAATGTCGGACTGTTAATTTCAGTTTCCGATGTAAATGAAAGTTAAGTGAAGCCGTTTGTTTCCATGACCCTTGCGAAAGTGATGATACTGATATAGAAATCAAGTCTGGAGTTAAGTATCTTGGATTAATTCTTTCTTCTGACCTATCCTGGTCTTCCCATGTCTTAGCAATTTCTAAAAGAATATTTCGTCTGACTTTTTACATTAAGAAGTTGAGGCACTCAGGCATAACCCAATCACTCCTCTTACAGTTTTTCAACTCGTGCATCCTACCTGTTCTTCTTTACAGTTCACCCTTATCCTTTCCTAGATTGCTTAGAAAAGACTGTCATACTTCATAGAACTCTGAAGATTGCCAGTGGGACGAGTGGTATCCCATTGGGCCATATCGTTGACATTGTCATTGATAGGCACTTGATGCCATGCAACAAATTCGCTAAAGGAATTTTGTCAGAATGTGAGCACTAACCTTGTGTCTCCTCAGGTAAAACAAGAAGTCTTTTCAGAAGACTTTATGGACGTACGTCTAAGTATAAAAATTCCACTATATCATATTTGGCACGTACTTTATGTGATGAAAACAGTTTTAGGCATGAACTGACTAACCTTCTTTGCACTACTAAATAAACCATTTCCTCCCCCCTTACAATATTAACTTTCATTGTTATTGTATTTCTTATATTTATAATCCTCTCGATTTTTTGTTTTTGTTTATTTTTTCACAAGTGTGAACATAACTTAAGCTGTCTTATAACTGTTAATTTTGTCTTTCCCCTCACCATGCTGCTATATCAACAGAACATTTGATTCAGTACTCTATAATAACATGCTGAAATTTCCAAACTGAATCGACAATACTGCTTGAAACAAACTCACTGTTATTGATATTATTATTATTACTATTATTATTAGATTTAATATTCTCAATTCGTGCTTTAAATATTTTTGACTTTATATTGTAAACGTGAACAAATTCCCCCGGTTACTTTTGTTTTAATTTTTAATTTTATTTATATTTTAAGTAACTCAGATGCCAGGTGTTGTGACAAGTGCTGAGAATTCTATTCTGTATTATAAGTACTGTTTTTTAAATAAAGTAGATTATTAGTACTATTATTACTGCAATGTTCATTTTCACTGATTTATTGATTTTCACTGGTAACGGCCTACATTACACATGAAGACGTTATTGTAAATAGCACTTTCACATAATACGGGGCTAAACTATCATTTAGACGGCTTTACATTTCCACTTTTCAACAAGTCGATCTTGTTCAAGAGTGCACATCGGTAACTTCAAACGCAAGTTAATTTTATGCAACGTATGTAAAATATTAGCTGACTAATCTTAACTTAGGAGTAGAAATCTTTACAAGGAAGGAAAACTGAGAGACATTAAATAACAAAAGTATTACGGGACTGTTAGCTTGGCTATCGTAAGGCGACGAACAATATGCCTCTTATATTTGGGCAAGGGTGGTCAGGTTTTTGAATCCCCGAATTGCTAGTAACCCGACTATGTATAAATGGTGTGAGTATTTAAGGTTGTCCAGTGTTCTATTATAGGATATTGTACACCACTGTGATGTAGTACATTTATATAGATCTCATTTAAACACATTCAAAGTCTTTTCCAATATCTTTTGTCTGTTTTATAATCACCTGCGTTACGTAATTTTTGCGTCTCTTACTCAGTTGCAACCGCTGTTTTATAATCTTCCTCTGTGCACGAACTGACAGCAGTTAGACAGTCACTGGAAGTTATCAAACAGTACTGGACTACTGTTTCGTTCTAGTCTACGACTCTTTGTCAGTATATACTCATGAACAGTATACCAGTGAACGAACTCATGATCTTCAGGTTATGAGGCGAACCCATGAGTACCGTTATAAAGATTCAAACTAACATAAAACAGACGTCCAGTACTTCTTGATAGCTTTCAATAATTCCCTCTTTTTTATTCCTTCAGGTTCCCAGTGGAACACAGGGCTTCAAGGTAGAAGCTTGAAGTTTCTTTAACAGTGTTGATTTTTACAGGGTGGGGTTGTTAGTCTCACGCCTGACCTTTCCTTTTTACCAGCATCATTTCTGGCTGAGCGATGCAAAGGAGTGCGTCGATGGCCAAGGATCGAATCCCGAACCACGTGCATGGGCAGCAAGCGTCCTAATCTCTGTTCCACCGACGCAATAGTTCTCTAATTGATGCTGTCGCGTTATCTAACTTGCAACTAATGAAATCCCTGGAAATTAATACTTCAAAATCAGTAACTATAATTTAAGAATTTCTGATGAAGGTAAAATAAATGCCCAACAAAAAAAAATAAAAAATTTAAAAACAGTTCAACTCATTGTCAATAGCATCTCAGAGGACCACTGAAGATGCGCACCTCCATCGTTGCCTCGGCACTGAAAATCAGATGACTAGTAGGCGAGGATAAACAACAAAAAAGTCGGACGGTGAGTAAATGAGACAGAAAAATCTTCACTAGGAAATGGAGATGGATAGATGGACGGTTGGATCAGACCTAAACATCAAGAAGACATTCCAGCGATGCCACACACACACACACACACATGATCCTTGATTGGAACATGAATGGAAAGCCATGGGGATGATGTAGAGGCAATGACAGACCATCGAGTGAACCGTACAACTAAAAGTGATAGAGGATAAACGACAGCAATTCAGATATACCTCCCAATGAAGTCTTTGCCTTAGACTACAACTACAGGGAATAAAAAGGAATAGTCATCTGGCTACAGTTATAAATTTATCTTATACAAACAAGCAAACAAACGTGAAGTACAACATTAAGTAAACAATAGTACTACTACTGATAAATACCAGTTAATAAGTAGTATGTACAAATACACAAAAAATAAATCAGTTTACTTTCGTATCCTTTTACTTTCATTTTGACCGCTTGTATTCATTAAATGATTGACACTATATAGACTGTGCTCATGTTTATAATAATCAAGCTTCTCTTCTCTCCATTGATAAATCAAATCTAATACAGGTCGTGTGAATGTGCAATTGACAGTAATATATATAGCCTGAAGACTGTTCAACAATGTGAAAACATGCCATAAGGCTATTGATGCCTGTATCAATGCTAGAAATGCAATAATCCAGACTAGTGTATGCGTGATAGTGAATTTTACAGTTATCCAAAATCTAGCACTAATGTTTGTGGTTTTCCATAACAAGGAGAGATTATCCTCATCGTCACTGCTATCATTGGTGTCGGCGGCACCGCCGGTGTTATGATCGTCTTCAGAAGGGGTTGAACTACCACCACCACCGACACCGGAATCATCATTACCACGTCTTTGACGCTTTCTAACATGAAGTAGTTTTATGATAGCCAGTATACACACTAGTTGTAGTAATAATAAAATAAATAATAGTGGAAAAAATACATAGAAATGTCCATAATTTGGGATGAGATTACACGATACATCAGAGAACTCCTCATGATCCACTGTGATATAATGCGACGACTTGAAAAAGACAATATTTATGATGATCTCGATCAATGGTAGACCAATTATTATAATATATCCTATCACATGACAGCATCGTTTAGTGTCAGTCACCAGTATACTACTTTGATTGCATAGTGAGCATAGTAATAACCCGCCATCTGAACAACAGTCTTTTCGCTTTTTTGCATTCCACAACGAGTAGGTGATCACCAGTGACGACTTTAAATTCACTGTCATTGTTATCAGAATACAGTAATCGGCGAAATAACTGAATATAAGATGTGTAAAATGACTTTTAGGCAGAAAACATGTGATCAAAGTCATTAGATAGGAGGCTGAGTAGAATATACAACATGTCATTATGCACAAACCATATAGTCGTCGAATGCGCTGAAAGCAAAGAAAGATCAATACATGCAGCAGTGTTGAGAATAAAGCCAGTGCAAAACAGATTTTTGTAATTGTATAGGTTTCCGAATCAATTCGACTATCATTTGTCAGTGAGGATGTCGATGTCTTGATTAGATGTTGGCTTTGATTGCACAGAGGATGCTTTTCAGACGATATGCATAGCGGAGTTATTGTCGGTGGGTTTATTAGTTCCGTCATTTTTCGAACTGTTTACTTCATCTAAAATACTTTCTTTCTAGAAAGTCGGAAGAACTAACATTCTCACACCTTACTGTTGAAATATATATCCAGGTAAATAAATTGGAAACGCAGTTTTGATAATAACAATTATTATATAGTAACAACAATAATGACAAATGACTATCTCTTTCAAGTGATCAATACTATCTGAAAGACAGCCAATCAGCTTAATTTAGGAGCGAAAAGCAGGCAGGCATTTTTAAGCTGACTTCTGATTGGCTGAATCCCGTTTGGTCAGGTTTGTTTTTGTTTTGATTGCTTTTTTCGTTTTTAAGTAATGAGGAGGAAGACAAAGAAGGTGGAGAATAAGAAGGAAATTATTACCTTAGAAGAAGAAGAAGCTATTTTACGATATTTTTTCGTCGTTGTTGTTGTTTGTTGTTTTTTATTGAGTATAGATGAAAATATTTTTAAATGTCGTCAAAATGTTGTCGTGAAAGGTGGGTTTGCGTGTGCATATATATATATATATATATATATATATATATATATATATATATATAAATTTAGTAGATTTTCAGTAATTTGGTTGTGTGAGTGAGACTTGGGCTGTTTTTTTCAATGTATATCGTCACAATTCGACATGAAATGTCGGATTTTTGCTAATAGTTTAGTAGTGAGTGAAAAGTGTGCATAAATAGTCTGTCTTGTTTGTTATTGAAGAATGTTTTAGTGTTTTTTAGTTCTATTCCCTTATTTTTGTCTGAACACTCACTCATATTTTTCAATTATCTTTATAGAAACGTTTGTATGTTATGAAATACTCAAAATTTCTTCGAAACTTCAGCTAACCAAATCGATTATTTTCTGTAAAAAAATTTTAATTCAAGTAATTTTGCAAACTTTATCAAAATAACCTTAAAAGATGCAGATATGTACCACTGACGGGTACAAATGAGTAGTTGGAAACTGCATATACGTACGTGTCAACCAGTAGCTCTTGATAGGTAGACCGAAGCGAGCAAAAGAACAAGCAGCTGATTCAATTTTTTCAGCTTGAACTCAAAATTGGTGTACCTCGATTGACTTAGTTTACAAAAAAGTATTTTTATTGTTCCCTATGGAAAATAAGGCATGCGTAGTACATCTGTCTTGCGCTAAGTCTCTGCTGTCTTTTTCATCTGACTCCAAGACTGTCCACAGGATATGATTTCTTCTTGACACAGTTTCCTCTGTGTCACACTTTCTATCCACTACAAAATGGTCACCAGCAGTTCGGGTTCCTCTCGATGGCCTACATATCGAGTGATATCACTCAGCGATCTCTTAAGTCTATGTCTGATTGATCAGTTTCCATATTCTTTCGCATATTTTATGGAGGACGGGTTGATGGCCCGTCCACTGCTTGCCAGAACTGCTTAATTATTATTATTGCTCCCTTGGATTTTTAGTGGAATATAGGCCTTCAACTGCACGTCTCCACTTGCTTCTGTCTTCTGATGTACTTTTCACCTGCATCCATGTTAATCCATGCTGTTTCAACGCCTATTCACACAATCTCCTCCATGTGACCCTCGCACTGACGTCCCACTCGCGGCTTCCCTTTCGGGTTCCACTCGAGCGATGTCACCCAGCGACCTCCTCAGCGAGTGTCCAATCCATCTCAATCCACTTTCTCCTGCATATTTGTTGGTTGGCGATTGGTTCTTGTTTTGTTTATTAGTGCCCATAGTTTCTTGTTGGTGATTCTTTCCGGTCCGGCCAACTGATCTTCAGTATAGAGCCAGCGAAGACAGTTGGTTGTTGATAAAGGTAACGTCTGCAACAGGCTGTCGGAAATATTCTTTGTGACCCGCCCGCCAAGTTTCTGATCCGTATAGAAGAAGTGACTGACTTGACGTATGTGTTGAAAATCCGATTAAATTTTGTTGTTGATGCTGAGTGACGAGGATTTCCAGATTGGTGTCAGTCTGGTGAATGTGTTTCTCGCTCGCCTTCCCGATTCTCGATTTGTTATCCTCGTCCGTTCCGACTTCCTGTAGTTGAGACAATGCTCTCCGGATAAGTGAGTGAATGAAGTAACCTCTTTTAAATTCCTCCCGTTGATGGTGATTGACGCTGAATGTCGCTGCTGTTGTTTTTGTTGGTTGGTTAGTTGGTTATTTTCATAACCTCCATCTTGTCTGTATTCACTTGGAGTCCTGTCTTCGCCGGCTGCTTCTTCGACCAGCTTGTCGGTTTTCACGTGTAAGTCTTCGATTTTGTGTGTGTGACATCAAACATAAATCATCCACGCGCGCAATTCAGGTCTTCTAGGTTCTTCACGTTGGTCGGTCCAGGATATCCCTGTCTTCTCGTTTCCCACTCACTGTCTAACGCATAATCCAGTCAGTCCACCACAATTAGGAATATCATTGGTGACAATGAGCACCCTTCTCTGACTCCTGTGTTTATTCCAAACGCCTCACTGAGTTTTCTGTTGTGGATCACTTGACATGTTCCGTTGTCATACAGCAGTTGTATAAGGCTGATGAATATTTGGTGTACGCCGTAGTACTCGAGTAGTTTCCAAATTACTTCGCGGTCAACGCTGTTGAAGTCTATAAAGTTGAGGTACAGGTAAATGCCTAATGCTTATCATTTAATACCAGGCAGCCAAATGATCTTAAGTGTAGAGGCAGCAAAGGTCGTATGCTTTGTTGACAATGTTCAGTAGCCTATTTTAAAATGGTTTTGGTGACTCACGGGCCAAGGTTCTGAACCATTCAACAACACCCATTGGCTCGAGAGTAGTGTTAAGCAATATTCGAATCTGGTTCCTTGTGCTAATTAAGTGCTGTGCATCTCCACACATATAATAAACGTGGTAATTGACAGGAAGGTAAATTTTCATTATCAGCTGCAGAACCATTGAAAATCAAGTCAGAAAACAGTTTCACATTTTCTTAAGGCTGTACAAGAGTACACATTCAAGACTCAACAAAAATCACGGAATATACAGATTGGATCATAGGAATTAATAAAAAGACAGTCGCAGTGAAGAAAATTTTCTTTTCGACGAAGTTCCCAACTAGACTGTACATTCGTGTATTTCATAAAATAAATGGGTGGGAAAGTTCCTGACTAACTTCCGGTCAAGGGAATGCCATAATAAACATGGGGAGAAGGGACAGATAAAACTCAAACACAGTAGCATCATGAATACTGAGAAGATTGACATATTGTGCAATTAGGGGTTAGAAATATAGAAATAACACAAATAGACAGGATGTTTGGATAAAAAAACGAATGTGACGAATAATTGTTTATGCAATCAGGGATTAAATATGCAGAAATAGTAAAATGATAAAATAGACAGGAAATTCGGATATGAAAATATCGTAGTGGAAATAGGGATTAAGAAAAACTTAAAAACAACAAGAATAAAGAGGAAGTTTGCATAAGAAAGTCAATACGATGGTCACTATTAGAAGAATTACCTGTTTATGATGGCCATGGTAGGGACAAGGGTTGGACATATTTCTTTTGGATATGTAGTGTGGGTTTGAGCTTCTGGATGGCTAGTGCCTCGGCTATGCCCAGATGTTTTGATTTCACTCCCTTTGATAGGTTTGGTCAAGTCTCGTACGCTGTTTTGAAGGATTTTTCGAATGGCGCTGAATGTCCCGAATTGACCAGATGTTCTGTCACTGAACGCGTTTTTGAAGTTGGCGTATGGTACGGCCGATGTACTCAGCTCCACAAAAGCAAGTAAACTGGTATATGCACGTTGAGATGGCCCAATGCGACAGCTTGTGTTTCGCGTCCAGGCTGAACAGTTTCTTGCAGGAAAATTTCAATCGTAGGCTCACGGCGATGTATGTTTCCGTCATAGATTTTCAGAGAATTTCTGCTTCAATATCAGCTTTGAATTCTAGATTAAGCAGAAGTATCTCCTTCGGGACTGCTTGAACTTCTTCAGAAGTCTTCTTTGATTTAAGATTCTTGTCTATGAACCTAGGCGGAAAACCGTATTCCATCTAGGTCCCATGGAGATTACTCAGTTTTTTGTCAATCAATTTATCGCTGCATATCTTCTGAATCCTCGAGGAAAAAGAGTATATAAGGTTCCTCTTCCTGCTTAGGGAAACGAAGCTTTGAAAGTTGATGTCTTGCTCATTCAATGTAGACTTTTTATATACGGACCTTTTAAGAGAGTTGTTGGCGTTTCTTTTCAGGTGAACGTCGAGGAAGTGGAGCATTCCGTTGAATTCAGCTTCAAGAGTAAAGTTGATGTTTTTGAGGGTATTGTTGTTGTTGCTGGCCGACAAATATGGAAAAGAATGGATACTGAACAAAAAATACTCTTTCTGGTAACCTGCTCTTCATCAGGCTCTACACTTATATATACATTATAGTGAATGAATTAGTGTGTTATGAACAACACTGATGTTGCTGTTTAAATAACATCGAATCAATAATATCATTAGATTACAGTTCAACAGCATCAACATAAAATAAGCTGAATGTGAACAAAATTAGGAAAGATAATAACACAAATTCATGAATTTATAGTCTATACTGAAGTTCGCCCAGAGCGGTAGTAGTGGCTGGACTTGCTTCTTTTGCACACGGAGCACTGGTTGTTTCACGCGAATTTTGATAGC